GGGGATTTGATGACCAAAAAGCCGGACATGTCCGGGAAAATCCAGACGTATGGTAACCCTACTGGACACCCCAGAGAGATGCCCAAAGGATAGGGTTGGTGTGTGCTTATTGCTAACCTGTGTAGAGAGAGTGAGGCCTGCAAAGGCCTGGATTCAAGGTAGTGCTTGTATTGCCAGGGGCTGCTGGAGTCAGGGAGTGGGCCCACAGCAGATACAGACAAGACTACCTCATGTTAAAGACTGATAGAAGTGAGATGCCTCACAACTCTGGCGACCCCTGGGACACGCACATTTATTACCTTGTTCCAAAGAGACAGGGAAGTAATCAAGGCCGGTTCCAGGGTTTTGGCCACCCCAAGCAGCAAAAATAAAAAAAAGCCGCGATCACGATCTGCGGCGACAATTCGGCGGGAGGTCCTTCGCTCCGAGCGGGAGTGAGGGACCGTCCGCCAAATTGCCGCCGAATACCTGGACGTGCCACCACTCTCCGGAGCGGCTGCCCCAAGCACCTGCTTGCCAGGCTGATGCCTGGAATCGGCCCTGGAAGTAATGTTATCCCCATATTTACTGACAGGGAAATGAAATCCGTAGAAATGAAGTCTGTGTACAGAGGAAGAACTTGAATCCAATCTTCTTGAGTCCCACTAGAGTGTCTTAACTACTGGATTGTCTTTTTGTACTATCTCATTTTAGAATTGAGGATACTTTGCATAATTTGAAATAATACATAGCTTGTGCATTTGGAACCTAGATACCATGATGGCCAGCACATTAGAAAAATCCAAAATAGACATGATCCTATTACCAATCTCCTGAGTCATCTAATACCCATAAAAACACCCGCTGTTCTAAATAACCCAGAGTTTCAAAGGAGACTCTGAAAAAAGAAAAATTCCAGTGTTTGTAAATTTCCATAGAAACAACTAGGCTAGATATAGAACTACTCTGTAATAATTTATGAATAATTTATATTACTTTTGGCTATTGGGATGTTTAGTGTATTAATGTATTGGTTTAGTTTAATACCGGGTAAAACAAGCAGGAAAGAAAGCAGCTGTTTGGAAAAATAAGCAGGAAGGAAAAAGAATGTCTCAAGTTAAGCCTCCCTTCAGGAAACACCTGGGGTATGTCTCCACTGCATTTTGTATCCATGTCCAGGCACCTGCACCAGCGAACCAGTGCTTGCCAAGCATGTTTGCTAACATCTACACTGCAGTGGGATGCACACCTCATGCCCATATAGCCACATCCACGCTGGCACTGCACAGACATGTGTCTGACATTGGGATCTGTGTGGGTGCAATGCATCCTAGGGTTCTTAGCACCTTGCCAACTGGAGCTGCTCCAGGTCTTGGTATGCAGTGTATGTGGGAGAACTTGTCTGTCTGTCCCATGGCTCTGTACAGATGTGTTCTCAGCCCACCAACACATCCAGACAAGGTTCTTCCTTTCTGTGTTTCGTCTGTTATAGAAAAATACAAAATAAAATTATCCAATCAGTGCTAAATATACCTGGTGTTTATAGTGCAATGTATTGTAATTTTGTCAGAAATACTATATAATAATGTTATATTTAACAAAAATAATGCTATATAACACACAAAAGAGTCAATTAAGAAAATTTTTTCTTTTTTATTCAGACTCATTAAAAAAAAGATACGCACTTACACTTTAAATCAGAACATTTAAAAAAAATAAATGGATTTACTAAAAATAACTCAACATGATTTTCATTAGGATTCAAAGTATAAAGCTATAAAAGCCTGGGAGATTATTTGAAAGGAAAAACAACAAAACAGACAGAGGAAGACGGTGACTTGGAATCAGAACTTAGTAGTACAAGATACATTTTCATTCACAAAACAAACTAATTGTTGAGCAATCAAAACAGAGGATTTTACAGCTCACAATCACTTACATTGCTTTTCGAAACCAAGGATAAAAGAGAGAGTAAATCAAAGGAATAAGCAAACCAAGCTACAATGTCAAAGCCAAGGTGTGGAGTTATAAAGTTGAGGAAAATATCAATTATTACAGTTATCAAATAAGGTGACCAGAATACCAAAAAAGCGATCACAGGTATACCCAGGGTTTTAGCAGCTTTCCTCTCTCTTCTGCCAACTCTGTCACTGTAATTATTAGATGATTGGATGTTGTTGCTCATAATCTCTATCATTCTAGCTTGTCGTTTAGCCACAGCAAAGATCTTGCTGTAAAGCGCTATCATTGCAGAGAAAGTTATGAAATAAAGAAGAGAGGATACAACCACCCATGTTTTATTGAAAAAAATCTGACAACTCCCCTCACAGGACAGAGTGCTCACTAATTCCTGTAGCCCTTCGTCATGAGCCCCAGTGTACACTACAGAAAAACTGTACATTAAAGAAAATGTCCAGGCAACAGCTATGAATATGCCTGAAACAGGCACTGTGAAGATAACTGCATAAATTAAAGGATAATTGACAGCAACATATCGATCAACTGAGATGAAACACAAGTGAAATACTGATGCTAGGCTGAAAGATACATCTAAACAACAGTGAAATCTACAGAATATTTCCCCAAAATACCAACAGGTTTCAACATATCTTACAGTGCTAAAGGGTAGCACAGTCATATCCAAGCCAAAATCAGCACATGCCAAGGAGGCAATCAAAAAATTTGTAGGTGAGTGATGTTGTTTAAAATAAGCAATGGAAACCATTAGATTTCCACCTACTGTAAAAATCGTCAGCATACCAAGCACAATTTACAAAGTTACTTGGAGTCAGAAGAATATCATGTTTTATAGCAAGATTCATTCATGTTCTCAAAGCAGTACTGCAAATCTTCCTTATCAAAAAAGGTTGAGTTCGTTATTTCCCTCAAAATTTAATTCCTGAACTGATGGTTAAGATCTAGGGTATGTCTACACTACGAAATTAGTTCGAATTTATAGAAGCCGGTTTTATAGAAATTGGTTGTATACAGCCGATTGTGTGTGTCCCCACATAAAATGCTCTAAGTGCTCTAGTCGGCGGACTGCGTCCACAGTACCGAGGCTAGTGTCGACTTCCGGAGCATTGCACTATGGGTAGCTATCCCACAGCTATCCCACAGTTCCCGCAGTCTCCGCCGCCCATTGGAATTCTGGGTTGAGATCCCAATGCCTGGATGATGCAAAACAGTGTCGCGGGAGGTTCTGGGTACATGTCGTCAGGCCCCTCCCCCTCCGTCACAGCAACGGCAGACAATAGATTCGCGCCTTTTTACCTGGGTTACCTGTGCAGACAACATACCACGGCAAGCATGGAGCCCGCTCAGCTCAGCTGAGCTCACCGTCACCATATGTCCTCTGGGTGCCGGCAGACATGGGACTGCATTGCTACAGAGCAGCAGCTGCTAACTGCTTTTTGGCGGTAGACAGTGTAGCATGACTAATAGCCGTGGGGCTGGCAGCCGTAGAGCTGCATTGCACCAGCCCCTTGCCGTTTGGTAGAAGATGGTATATTACGACTGGTATCCGTCGTCGTCGTACT